GATCTGTCTCCACCGATGAGTTCTGGAAGAGCTGCTTCACCATCACACGCGTACGCTCTCCAGCATGAAACCACATAGCATGACGCACTTCTCCAAACGTACCAGACACTCCCGACCCGTCCTCAAACATCAAATCATCAGCAGAAATGTACCAATCTGGAAACTGGACATCGTCCAGTTGAGCAAATGCACAAACACGATCAAATGTCGCTCGCATCAGCTGACAATGCGTCTCAAAAGGACATCCACCCAGCTCCTTGTGCAGTTTCATCAGAACTTGTTGCACCATTTTGTGACTTTTGATCTCTCTCACCAAGTGTCGATCCGTCGCATTTTGGACCAAATTCTCTAAAATAGAGAACTGTTTCGTACGATCGCTCTCCCATTGGTCCCCCCACTCCTGCCCCTCGCTACCTGCCCGCAATACCGTTTCAACATCGTCAAGATCTTGATGCAGCCTCCGAATTACTAGTGCAGCAGAGTGAAATGTCGCCAGTCTTGTCAGCAGCGGTTTTCGTCGTACAATCCGCTTCACGAGAATCAAGATTATATCAATGTATTTTACTCGTAGCGTGTCGTCTGTCCGGCATTGCGCTACCTCGTCGTGTAGAGCCTCGAGGCGATCGACCACCCCCAGACAGAGTTTTTCAAGCTCTGGCAACCGGTTGCATTTCGATCGAATATCCGTCAACACCGCCTTGGCCGGCGGATTCCCACGCAGACGCGCGATTCGGAGCTCCACCATATCTTTCGGAATGAGCTCTGGCTTCGACAAAATCTAGCGCGGGTCTGGTGAGTATTCGGACAGCAATCCAATGACCGTCCGGCCACTTATCCATCATCCGTCCAGCTAATTCCGCGCAGAGTAGCACAGGGGGCGATTCGGCACCACTCGTCAGTAGACACGTTAGGACTACCACGGTCCCCAAGTCCAGTAGCCTCCATCATGGTCCATGACAGCGCCGATGCAGCCGCTGGCGGCCGCTTGTCGTTGCATGTCCCCAGCAGGTGTGTCTCCTGGTATACATGTGATTTTTCGTATCTTCTCGTTTCGGGTATTTTACATGGAGCTTGCGCAAAAAAAAAACTACACTTCGATTATTTTAAACTACTGTAATAATACTGCAACGCATCCCGCTTTCGCAGGGGTGAACAAATATAGGATTTGCAAACACATCAGGAAATTTGGAAAAAGCAGCATTATATCCGGAAGTTTATCGAAGATCCAAGGGCGCGAAAACGGGGTGCACTACTGTATATCACCATCGAAAAGCCAAAGTACATGGACCCATCAAACTCGTAAATCTATTACTGCGTAAGTAGTATACAACAAGTTTTGCTTCGTACAGGTCTTGCAATTGTGCAAGTGTGATCTGTAATGGTCAGTACGGGCGCCTGGGGTCCCCACTCAACCTCGTTGCTCAAAAACCAACCAGTAAAAACGAAAGATCGAGTTGAGGGTGAAATGCCTAAAACTCC